ATATCAACTTAAAAATAAATCAACATAAGGAAAAAAGTATCATAAAATAAATAATCAATATAGAGATAAAAAATCATCAACATAAACGAAAAAAAACAAAGCATAAAAGACCATTGCCATAAAAAAAAAACAACAAAAAGCATCGACATAGAGAAAAAAAATAATAACATGAAAAGTCATCAGCATATAAGAGCAAACATCAACACGAAAAAGTATTAACATAAAAAATAATGAATTAATAAAAATAAAAAATAAAATAAATAAAAAATCAACAAAGTAAAAAACGTATTAACATAAAATATAATTTAAAAATGAAAAAAAATCATCAACGTAAAGAAAGAAAAAAAGTATCAACATAAAAATCATAAAAAAAAAAAAAAAAAAAACATCAATATAAAGCACAAAAAAAAAAGCATCAACATAACGAAAAAACAAAGGAAAAAAAAACATAAAAAAGCACAACAAAAAAAAACATCAAAATGAAAAAAATCTACACAAGAAAAGAAACGAAGAAAAAAAAAAACTAAAACAGGGTGCACAACAAGCACGCCCGATTGGTAGAGAGCGAAAGCCACCCAACGTGTACTCTACTTTCTCCCCTCCCTGTCTTCCTCCTCCTCTAACCCTTTCGCTCCTCACCCTCCCTCCTCCCCACTCCACCCCCTCCTACCGCTGCCTTGGGGAGACTCGCTCATCTGGTCACAGCTCTTCCTTACGTAATCAACCTATCACATCATCCTGAATTCAGACGAAATAATAATAATAGTAATAAAATAATAATAATAAAACAACAATAATAATAATAAAATGAAAATAAATAAATAAATAATATAAAAAAGGAGCTACTGTACATTCGCGTTTTCACTGATCAAGTCTTCTGCCAAGAGATTTTTTTCCTTAAGGGTTAAACGAGTGCCCTTTCAGGAAGCCTGGGTCTTGAGACTACCCCCCCCCCAACTCCTGCCCGCCCGGATGCCTTTCCTAATTTCAAAAAGACAGACAGACGCGAATTATCTCTACGAAGACCCTACAACCTCCCAGCAAGTCACTATAACGAGTCACTATCTCAGTCATCATCACCATCGTCATCGTTATCAACATCATCGTCATCACCATCATCATTATCGCTATCGCCATCGCCCGGTTGCCAGTCATCACAATTAAGGCTGTTATCACAATCAGCTGCACTATTATCCGCACGTCAATCGCTACTCCTGCCCGTAATCGCACTATCTACACCATAAATCATGCGAGGATTAGGGAATAAACACGTGGACACAAACATCCGAAGCCTTATCAGCCCCCAGGTAATACAATAATGCACTTGCTCTTATATTTAGAAACCTGTGGAATTACATTTAAAACGAGAAGAAAAGATGTATACACACGCAATGTATATATGTATGTATGTATGTATGTATGCATATATATATATAATATATATATATATATATATATATATATATATATAACATATATATATAAAATATATATGTGTACCTATATATATATATAATATATATATATATATATATATATATATATATATATATATATATATGTGTGTGTGTGTGTGTTGTGTGTGTGTGTGTGTGTGTGTGTGTGTACATATATATATATATATATATATATATATATATATATATATATATTATATATATGTGTGTGTGTGTGTGTGTGTGTGTGTGTTGTGTGTGCTGTGTGTGTGTGTGTACATATACATATATCATGTATAATATAATATCATTATATATATGTATGTGTGTGTGTGTGTGTGTGTGTGTGTGTGTGTGTGTGTGTGTGTGTGTGTGTGTGTGTGTGTGTGTGTGTGTGTGTGTGTGTGTGTGTGTGCTGTGTGTATGTGTGTGTGTATGTGTGTGTGTATGTGTGTATGTGTGTGTGTGTGTATGTGTGTGTGTGTGTGTGTGTGTGTGTGTGTGTGTGTGTGTGTGTGTGTGTGTGTGTGTGTGTGTGTGTGTGTGTGTGTGTGTTGTGTGTGTGTGTGTGTGTGTGTGTGTGTATGTATGTGTATGTGTATGTGTATGTGTATGTGTATGTTGTATGTGTATGTATGTGTGTGTGTGTGTGTGTGTGTGTGTGTGTGTGTGTGTGTGTGTGTGTGTGTGTGTGTGTGTGTGTGTGTGTGTGTGTTATATATATATATATATATATATATATATATATAATATATATATATATATATATATATTATATATATAAATAAATTATAAATATATGTACAGACGACACACACAAAATGAAAACAAGAAAGGAAAAAGAACTGTGGAACTAACAAGACAATTACACGGTTTTCTTCGACGATTTCCCTGTAATTCAGAAAAAAAAAACTTTCAGCATGGAAAGATAAGCCGTAACAAAGCAAATGAAGGAAACACACGCACAGTCCACAATAAGATGATTTATAAGAGCCCCCAAGATTTAGGCATAAGTCACGAAAGATCTCCAATCATCTCTGCCAATTCAAGGCGCAAAAAATAGACATCAAAACCTTTGCCATAATTCATCAAGCGCGATTTGGGAATTAGAAGCAGCGACGCTAACCCAATGCATATTCACTGGTCTACATCTAAATAATTTAGGCACTTTTTCAGTGTGGGTCTATATATAGCTTACTATAAATAATAAATAATAATAATAATAATAATAACAATAATAATAATAATAATAAATCACCAACGGAAAGAGACTCCTCCTGTTACTCTTCCTTCCACTCCTCCTACTCCAAATCTTATTCCTACTCACTCGTCCTCCTCCTGCTATCCCTTCTGCTCCTTCTCCCAATCCTACTTTTATTCCTCCTCCTCCTCCTCCTCCTCCTCTTATTCCTTCTAACCCTACTCCTACTCCTATCCCTACTTTTATTCCTCCTCCTCTTACTCATTCTGCTCCTACTCCTACTCCTATCCCCAATAATATTCCTCCTCTTACTCATTCTACTCCGACTCCTATTCTTATTCCTACTCTTACTCCCCCAAAGTTAGTTCTCCACACAGAAGTCCCTGCCTGGCCCTCGGTCACTTAGCCGCCGTGAGAAAATGGCTGGAAACAGGACAACAATGACAAGCCGCCCTTGCACGCCAAAAATAAGAGTGATAATCAAAGCCATTACAGACACACAACATAACACCTAATTTAGAACACTGGCGCCATGGTACCACAATGAGATCCCGCGACCTTAAATTTGTAAGCGATAACACGACGCTTATTTGTCTTATCGTATATGATTTTATAGGGGGAACAGGTAAAGCTAATGGACTTTCAAAGCAAGATAAAACTGAATCGTCTCGAAATAAGGTATCTAAACCCAAGTCCGCGAAAGTTTTCTCTTACTCCCATTCCTTTTACTTTAAAAACACACACAGTTATAACTTCACAAAACTATTTTAAGAAACCACCTCCAGGCTCTCTGATAGTTGCAGAAAGGCAATATCTACACTAAACCGGGAAAAAAATATCACAAAAAAATTAGAAGTTAAAAATGTAGGTCTACCCACCAGCCTGTCTCCCCAAGGAATGCCCAAGACTCGTCCAGAAATGCCAGGAGAAGGAACTCCGCAAGGCCCGACGGAGGTGACAGAGCGACCACCTAAAGCTTGGTCCAGGAGTTGTGTTTGCCAACCTGCCTGCTGCTTCCCTGGACGCCTTGAAGGTTATCGTGATGTTACAACGGGCACGTGATCCGGGCGCCCCCCTCTGCTTTAATTCTTCCTATTCCATTAATCTATCGTAGACCATTTTTCGGCGTTTTTCTTTTTTCTCCTTTTTGTCTTCCTGTGTCCCATATCCTCATCCCATTCTATCGCCCTCGCTGCGTGTCTCATCTCGCACACGCTGCTTTAAGACGAGGGAACTTCGCCAGCCATTCGTGAACAGCCAGAAAGCAAGCACGCCAACGCAACACCCTCCCCCCTTCGTTCTCTCACTCTGACACACCCTAATCTCAGAGACGACTCACAAGCACAAGCTCTCGTGGTGTGTTCTCCCCGGCCCTCCTCTCCCTCTCTCCCCACTCCTTCACGCCCTACCTGCTCTCCCCTCGGCCTCCTCCTCCTCCTCCTCCTCCCTCCTCCCTCCTCCTCCTCCTCCTCACTCTCTGCCGCCCACGTTCACGTTGCCCCGAGCACGAGAAACAAGTAATAGTGCTAGTTACAGTCACTAGTAACCAGACACTCACTCGCGAGCCGTCTGTAAAAGATTTGAAGACTTGATTTAAAAAAGCCCATTTGAATAAAAACAATCAAATAAGATTCACTGTGTATTATTCGACCTCAACCTGTTACGCGGAGTTAAGCACACACACGCCTATATTCTTCAGAAATCAATGCTACCGTCTGCACTCCCATCACTCGTCGGGCGAAGAAAGGAAAGAAGAACAAGAAGAGCGAGTAAACGAGGGAAAAACACCCGTGGCGGGGAAGCGAATCAATATGAAACACGGTCCGCTATGGAAGGAAAAAAACTAAAGCTACCAGGCTCATACACCGGCACATTTCCTCGGCGGACAGCGAGTTTCTTCTCGAAAGAACGCAAAGCCCGCCGTTGCAGCGAAGAGCCAGAGTCCTCCTTATTGCCAAACAGGAGGCCCCGTAGCATGAACGGGCCACAAAAGAGGGGAAGGAGAGAGAGAGAGAGAAAGACAGACACAGGGAGGAAGCGAGGAACACCCTCCGTCATGGGTGGGGTTTGCGGGCCGCAGTTCCCTCCGCCACGGCCGTTGGGAAATACAACCCCCTTTCCTGACGCAGACTCAGCCCTTTCCTTCTCTCCTCCTCCAGGCCTTCGCAGAAAACAGGAGGACACGCATCCTCTGACTGGAGAAGGCCCTCAGAGTGGTCTAGACCGACAGGAAAAGGGGGTAAAGGGGGAAGGGAACCCGAAAAGGGAAACTAACAAGCCTGCCTTAGCTGTCCCCGCAACAGATGTGTGCAGAGGGAGTGACACGCACAGCACACACATACACCGGCGCTCAAGAGACTTACCTTCACTACTTCCGCTGATAAATCTCTTCCTGGCTTTCAAGAAGAATTGCAGATATTTATAATTCTTTTCACAGTATCTTCTGAATGTTCAATACCATCCACGATTCTCACATTGAAACGGAACTTTGTTTTTTCCCTTTTTTCCAAAGATATTTTTCTCTTGAGATTTTTCCTTATTCCAAAAATCTTTCCACTGCCACGCTACTGCAGAGTGTACAAATCCCCTTCGTTCAAGATTGCAACCATGAAAATATAGTAGTAGGCATTCGGGAAGAAAAAGAGGGGTCTTGCTTTTTTCCAAAATCAGAATAAATAAGAATCACAGAATGGGCTTCCAACAGGTCGTAGTCCAAGAGAAAGAAGTACGAAAGGCGACCGATTCCTACGCGGGAGAGAACCAATGATGGCTAGGGACCAGTGCAGGAATCAGCGGAGCGCACGAGCAACACATCCGACCTGCACCGTAGGTTCTCGGACACTGAGTCACAGACGGCGATCGCGCGAGTTACATAGACGCATGTGGCGATGTCTACGATGATGACGTCATAGTCTGCTCCGGCGCGCATGCGTTGATACCTCGAGTAAGAAGAAAAAAATGAAGAAAGGAAGAGATCAACAAAAAATATAAACGTTTGTCATGCCATCGCTTTTCAATGACAACGTTCGGTATAGACAGTCGAGTACATTCTGGTTCCTACGCGTGACGTATGAACCTCTTCCTAACAACGGATCTCGACCGGATACGAAATCGAACGATATCAACGAATTTAAAAATCTAGATCAATCTTTCCTTCTCCCTCCCCATCCCAGCCCCATCCCCCATCCCCCATCCCACATAATAATCCCGCGACAGCCGATGAAGCGCCAACCCCCACCCCCGGCTCTTCGCTCATCAAGGACAAATCGGTGAAACATGAAAGGGGTGAGAAACACGGGAGAGAGAGAGAGAGAGAGAGAGAGAGAGAGAGAGAGAGAGAGAGAGAGAGAGAGAGAGAGAGAGAGAGAGAGAGAGAGAGAGAGAGAGAGAGAGAGAGAGAGAGAGAGAGAGAGAGAGGGAGAGGAGAGGGAGAGGGAGAGGGAGAGGGAGAGAGGAGAGAGAGAGAGAGAGAGAGAGAGAGAGAGAGAGAGAGAGAGAGAGAGAGAGAGAGAGAGAGAGAGAGAGAGAGAGAGAGAGAGAGGAAGAACGACAGAATGATGAAAGATGCGAGAGAAAGATGAAGGAGAGATAAACAGATCAGAAAGAGAGGAAGAGAAACAGCAGAAGAGCGAACCCTCATTTCCCGCATTATTTCAAATACTGATCTACCTCGCTGTTGCCTATTAATCATAGTCATCAGCGTAATTCGACCAGAAAAACAAAACAAAACAAAAAGGTGAAATAAAAGCAACACTGTACTATTCTTCGGTAAACCAACTGATGGCAATGATCCCGCCAAATATGATGATAGCGAAACATTGCACACACCTACTTTTTTATACGAATAAAAGGTGACCTGAACGTAAACCCTTTAACAACAGCGCATACAATAAGATGATAAATGGCCGCAAAAAAATATGACTTTCCCCCCGTCCTTCTCAAGGTCTCGTTCGGCCAAGATGAAAATACCCGATTTCCTTCAGGCACTCAAGAACACAACGAGACATCGACTCATACACTTAAGTATTTACTCGATAATAATGCTATATTTGGCGCTTAAACTGCACGAGTAGATGCGCACACACGCACACGCGCAAACACAGAGATGATATGAAAAGAGAGAGAAAGAGATCAGATGAGAGAGAAAGAGATGAGATGAGAGATATAGAGATAGAGAGATAGAGAGATAAAAGAGAGAGAGAGAGAGAGAGAGAGAGAGAGAGAGAGAGAGAGAGAGAGAGAGAAGAGAGAGAGAGAGAGAGAGAGAGAGAGAGAGAGAGAGAGAGAGAGAGAGAGAGAGAGAGAGCTCATCAGACGAACAAATAACCGAAATGGCTATAAAAAGACAATTCTGACGAAATTGGCTTTGTGTATCCATTTCGGTTACTTGTTCGTCAGATGAGGAAATCTTCACGAGGTCGAAACCTTACGATTCAATATAATTTCTTACTATGACTGTTTACATAACCACACACACACGCGCGCGCGCACACACACACACGAGAGAGAGAGAGAGAGAGAGAGAGAGAGAGAGAGAGAGAGAGAGAGAGAGAGAGAGAGAGAGAGAGAGAGAGAGAGAGAGAGAGAGAGAGAGAGACAGAGACAGACAGAGAGAGAGATAAAGAGAGAGAAAGAGATACAGAGATACCATTACTCTACGTACAAGTTCTCAGACAATCAAACATTCGCACGAAAGAACGCAGAAAACACACACATGCAAAACACAGAGACGAAAAAGGGAACAAGATGGGACACAGCCAAACACGAAAGCCACCTTCCCATTGCCCGGGGAACACAAAGGACTGGTTTACCGCCTGGACTGGCACAAAACTGGGTGAAGGTGTAGTGAGTGGGTCAGCGCCTTTGCTTGCTTGCTTGCTTGCTTGCTTGCTTGCTTGCTTGCGTGCGTGCGCGTGATAGGTCTGTTGCGTGTTGGAAAAAAGTATGGAAAACAAATTAGTCTCTCTCTCTCTCTCTCTCTATGTGTGTGTGTGTGTGTGTGTGTGTGTGTGTGTGTGTGTGTGTGTGTGTGTGTGGTGTGTGTGTGTGTGTGTGTGTGTGTGTGTGTGTGTGTGTGTGTGTGTGTGTGTGTGTGTGTGTGTGTGTGTGTGTGTGTGTGTGTGTGTGTGTGTGTGTGTGTCGTGTGTGTGTGTGTGTGTGTGTGTGTGTGTGTGTGTGTGTGTGTGTGTGTGTGTGAGCGCGTGCGCGTCCTTGTTTATTTAATTGTGCTTGCGTGTATGGTTGTGATTGCTTGTAAGAATGAATTATTTGTTGAAATCCAAGTTCACTCGGGTCATATATATAACAATAAGTATCGATGTAAAGATGAAAGAGGGAGAAGAAGCGAAAAAAGTATGAGGGGAGATAAGAAAATGGGAGACAAGACGAGAAAATGAGGACAAGGAGAGGACAACGAAAGAAGAGAAAATAGAAAATGACAAAAATACAGTGGAAGATACGGGAATTAACAGAAAGATGCGAAAAGCTGGAAATGAAATGAATGAAATAAGCGGGAAGAAGAAAAATGAAAGAAAGGAAAGATGAGAAAATGGAGAAGGAGAAAAAAGAAAAACAGAGAAGAGGAATAAGGGGAATATATTCATATCCATCTATCAATCTTATAAGAGAAAGAAAATTCTAGAAGAAAAAAACAAACAAACAAAAGACACAAGGGAAATGAAGAGAGGAAATTAAAGGAAGAGAAGGGAAATGAGGTGAAGCAACTAAAAAAAATCAAAGGAGAGAAAACGAAAGGAAAGGAGAAAATGAAAGGAGAGAAGACATGACTGAAAAGAGAAAATGGAGAGAGAAAAGAGAAGCTGAAAGGAGAAACTGGGATATAAAAGAGAAAAGAATATGAAAAGGAAAAAAAAAGATATTGAAGAAAAACTAAAAGGGGAAAAGAGAAACCGAAAGGAGACATGGAAATAGGATAAGAGAAGAGAAAATGAAAAGAGGTTTCAAAATTTACGAAGAGGGAATAAGAAGAGGAGGGGGAAGAGACAGAAGAGGGAGATGAGGCAAAAGAGGGAGAAAAGGCAGAAGTGGAAGAAGCAGAGAAAGGGGGAGAGGCAAAGGAGAGAGAAGAGGCAGAAGAATACGATGCGACAAAACAGGGGACAGTGACAGACGATAACTAGAGCAAAATGAAATCCAATCAGAAAATATGAGGTAGAGAGAGAGAGAGCGAGAGAGAGAGAGAGAAAGAGAGAGAGAGAGAAGAGAGAGAGAGAGAGAGGAAGAGAGAGAGAAGAGAGAGAGAGAGAGAGAGAGAGAGAGAGAGAGAGAGAGAGAGAGAGAGAGAGAGAGAGAGAGAGAGAGAAAGAAAAAAAAAGCGTCCTCCCAGTACCGAAGCCCCGCGCGAATCCTCAACCTCCAGAGAGCCCCGGAGCAGCAGCCTCAACCGCGCTCGGTCCGCCATTTACACCGGCCCGGGAATGCTGGCCCGCAGAGTGCTTACAATGACACACAATACCACAGCGGATTGATCCGAAGTGGAAAATTGCAATTGATCAATTGATGCATCAGGCATGTCGCCTCTCTATTGATATCCGATGCAAAGCAGACAGCAAAATGTGTTCAAACGACTACGGAGAGGTGAAGAAACTTTTATTTATGAATGCATGTATGTATACTTCTACGCACGCACACTTATAAATACATAAAAAAATATAAATATAAATATAGATACAGATAAAGTTATATGCGTGTATAGGATATTTCCTTGTTGTTTCTTGTTTCTGATATACCAAAGCGGTAACAATTACAACGGAATTAACAATAATTTCCCAATAATGATCACCACTGCGAACACACACAAGTATATCAACATTCAGATGCAATTGTGCTGACTTTATACTACCAAAAATAATAATGGTATCATCATATATAATACATCAATAAAAAGAAATATCAATAACCATGGTTCTAGCAAAATCAACAGAACATCACCCCCGCAATAACTGCAACAGACCATCACCGTACTCCTATTTTGGGAATGTTAGGGTTAGAAAATTCGGATTCAGATTTTGAATAATATCCACATATCCCAGGGGAACCCCCCTCCGCGCTGTCCCTTTTGCAACCGCGAAACCCCAAAAATACGCTAATCATTAACGACATGAATAGCGCCACGGCCTCGTGATGGGATCTCAGCCTTCCGTAGGAAAAGCTTCGAGGCAACAATAACAACTGCTATGAGGCGACACAAGTTTCAGAGACGACGACAATGACGACAACAACATCAACAACAGCTACGAGGCAACAATAACAATAACAACAGCTGTGAGGAACAGCTATGAAACGACGCAGGTTTCAGAGACGAAAACGATGACAACAACGACAACGCAACAATAATAATAACAACAGCTATGAGGCGACGCAGATTTCAGACAACAACAACAACAATAATAACAACAACTCCATCATCTTATGCACAGATAGCCCAAGCTGTTCCCAGGCCAGCTGCACGCAAATACGCCTACAAGCTTTGTCAACTCAAACCATCATCTACAATATGAGCATCGACATATTCACGTTAATGTATTCTCTCTAATAATTGTATTGCTTCAGCGTGAATTTACCAATGTTTACGTTATAGAAGCTTAAATCAACTAAATACTTAACAAAGGCAATGGGTCTGAGAACACCGCATTCAGAAGGTTTGCAGTAACGGCGCTTCAAGAAGAACGCTTATCCCACCTACAACCGTATTGCAAAACCCATTTCGCCATCGATGCACTTCACTTATTGCAAAAAAAAAAAAAAAAAAAAAAACAATAAAAAAACATAAAAAATAAAAAATAAAAAAATAAATAAATAAATAAAAAAATTCTATCCGTATTGTTGACACAGAA